AGCGGAAGAGAAATGAAGCACATTATGCAACTGACTGTCTGAGTGCAAAGTTTGCACCATATTTGATGACTAGTGTATGATATGTCAATAATAAACATTTTTTCCTTCGTCTCGGTCTTCTCATTTCCTACAATAAGTGCCCCTACTTCTGGGCGTAATGAAGATTCCGTGACCTACAGTGTTCGAGGATGAAGACATCAAGGTATTCCTAACGAATTTCGAGCCAGCCGCAGAGCTGGTGGGTGTCCGAGATCTAGGAGTGAAGTTCCTGGTGCTTGGCATATTGCTGAGGGGTAGAGCAAAAGCGGCATATAACGGCGTGGAACACTAAGATGAGATGGAGACTTGGCAGAGAACAGTTGGACATCTGGAGGCGGAATTTGACAGCCCAGTGGATAGGGATTTGGCGATGCAGCAATTCCGGGGAACGAAACTTGGAATAGATGAAGATCCGCTGGTATTGATTGTGAAATTGGCTGAACTACTTCGATGAACACTTCCCACTTTGGATGAGGACTGTGCAGTGCAGTTGCTGACTGCACAGTTCACCAAAAGTGTCCCGAATGCCATAGCCCACTGGTTACGACTAGTTAACGCAGCCCAACCCATGGATATTAGTGAGCTGATCAAGGTAGCCAGACACCTAATGGTTAGAGCAGTAGCTGCGGTGGAGCCACCAGAGGTAAATAACTGGTAAAAACAAATCGACAACCTTCAGGAGGAGGTGGCTGCACTTTGAATTCATATCAACAGACAGAGTAAATGCTTTGCATGTGAAAACTGGGACACTAGTAGAGGAACTGTTCGGAGAGACAAAAAAGAAAACGTTTTGAAGATATAATATGAGTTCTGTTTTGCTGAGTAGACTAGATGTTGTAGGAGCCATAGATAGAGGTGCTGTGTATGCTATAATGCGAATAAATGATCAAGAGATCGTGTGTCTAATATATGCGGTGACGGCAGTCTTGCTGATAGATAAGATTCAGTCTCAGAATCCTTACCCATTGTTGGTAATTCCCTATGATTTCTGCCGCCTTCTCAACATACTACTTATATCCATTCTTATCACCAACGCCCACTACTCTGCTACTGATATTTTTCTCGATTTCTTATGAATTTGTTGATAAAATAAGGTGATTAGATCTACAGGCGAAAACTAAGAAGTTGACAGAAGAGGCAGCGAAGATGGGACTTCAGGTGAACGTAGAGAAGAAAGAGGTGATGAAGATACCCAACCAACACTACCATCACTACCACCAACAACAACAACAACAACAAGCTCCAATCATCATGAATTGGAGAAACTTAAAGGAAGTAGCCTCTTCCACCTACACCTACACCTATTCAGGCAGCACTGTTTCAACTACAGGTGGCACAGATGAGGACGTCAAAGACAGCAAGACAGGCATTCATTAACCTGAAACCAGAGTGGAGATCCTCTGCACTCCACTCAGCATAAGGTGTGAACAAGATCCAGATTTTCAACACCAACATCAGTCGAGTCAGTGCTTCTATATGATGGTTGAGAGACTTGGTGCGTTATGAAAAGCATTTCCAACAAACTACAGATATTCATCAACAAGTGAATACGCTGGCTCGTTACTCGTGCTTGGATGGCCAGAATAATAAGAATAAGGAACAAGGAACTCTTTGTGACTGTCAACGAACCAAGGAAGCAAGAAGCAAGTACCTATCGCTCAACAAATATTCAGTGCAAGGAAGTGGAGATGGACTGTATTGGGCATGCACTGAGAAGACCATTCGGCGACATCATGTGCCAGGCCCGTGTGTCCAGTGTGACTCAGATGGGAAACGACTAGTTGGGTCTCCGAGGTGAGGGTGACATAGAGGAGGTCGTGTGAGGAAGTAATGAGAGCTTGTGAGCAGTGGTGGAGGGAGGTTCGAAAGATTGCAAATGACAGAGTGGAATGGAGGCGCCCTGTATTCCACTAAAAACCCAAGGGATAAATAATGAATAATAAGATAATGAATGCAGACGAAAGCCCAACTATAGCTATGCATGTGACCGCATACATTAGCGTAGGGTAGATTAACAGTATTAAAATTACGTAGGCGGGGAGATTGATAACCAAGCCTTTGTTTATCGAATCAACACCTAATATATCCAATAGAAATGATTCTGTACCTGCCTCAGAAATTTGGAAACTTCTGCTACCCTTATCACATGGGATGAGAGAAGATTACAACTATGTAATACATGTCTCAAAGTTGTGAAGTTACTTTGATATGAATATGAACAATAAATTATATCGGAACCATAATGCAGTAAGTAATAGTGTTTCATTGTGTGACATTTTTAATAAATATTCTTCATTGGTTTTTTCTTCCTTAAGCCCTAGTATCTTACTTTTAATGCCTTATATGATGGACGAATATCAGTTTGATCAGTAATATACTTCGAGACCAATTTCTCAAAGTTGCAATAACATGCTTATCAGCTGTGCATCTATTCCACCTGTCTTCTTAGAAGAATACTTGTAGATGGTATTGATTGATGGTTGTGTTATGTCACAGATAGACAAAAGTAGGAACATTTGAATGAATAAATGAATAAATTGCAAAAAACAGTGGTTGAATGGTAAGGTGTTCTCTGTAAAATCTTATAGGGTTATGCATATAGTATGCTAGTGATGAATACTACTCTGGAACCAATGAATCAGTCATTCCCCACAAATATCAAATAGTCTTATACTTCAACATGCATACTATTATGTCAAGTTTTTAAGTTATCAACAAGAAAAACAGAGAAGTTTCTTCAAACAAATGAAAATGATAAAATAGTTTATATGATAAACATATGTATACACTTTTGAGGGAGTTGTGGAGATTTGGAATTAATTCAAGTTGTTATTCATCGTAGACTGACATGAGTTGGAGGAAGAAAGAAAACCTGGGAGCACTGGACAGCTGTTTCGTCCAACTAGTATGGGACTCCTCAGCAGTGCGCACCCACGACCCCACCAGAAGGGATGGAACCCGTGACCTTCAGGTTCCGCCGCCAGCGCGTTACCATTGAGCCACTGGGCCACAATCCAATGCTCCATATTTCCAACTTCTGTTAGGTCACGATATATAGCGCAAACGCCACCCAATGTCATCGCTGATTATTTGTCCTCATGGCCATCAGGCTTTGACTCCACCGGTCAAGACTTGTCATTGGAACTTTGGGAATACTTCTCGAAACTAGTCATCAATGAGCACCAGTTCAATTAAATTTTGAGGGAGTTGTGGAGATTTGGAATTATTTCAAGTTGTTATTCATCATAGACCCAGTTGCTCAATGGTAACGCACTGGCCGCAGAACCTGAAGATCGCGGGTTCGATCCCTGCTGGTGGGGTCGTGGGTGGGCACTGCTGAGGAGTCCCATACTAGTTGGACGAAACAGCTGTCCAGTGCTCCCAGGTTCCGATTGTTCCTCCAACTGATGTCAGTCTACAATGAATAACAACTTGAAATATGTATACACAACAATTAACAAGTCTGTATAACAGATTACTTTATACAACTTGAAGATATTCATAATTATTCCTGTCCTATCTTTTAGAAAAATAAGCAAAACTGGTAATATTATTCTCTTAATTAATTATAATGGGTTGTTTTTTATCTGGAATAAAAGAAAACTTGATTGTTTGTTTATTGAGAAAGTGAATTAATGAATTTTTCATTAGAAAAATTACTAATTAATTATAATTATCATTCTTGGGTGTATTGATATGATAGGGCGAATTTTAATAATTTATAGGAATAAATTTGTTCATCATCATCATTAGCTTATTGATAGATTACTTAATCTCAACTGTTCATGGATGTAACCCTTTCAACTGGATGGGTATATCCCATAGGATAGAAATATCCAAGTAGGAAAACGTCGCTTATTATTTCGTAATAAAATGTTTGTATACATAATAACTAATCTGTACATAACTGCTAATTGACAGTTTGATTTAGTTTTGGCTAGCAGAAGAATCTAGTATGCGCGTTTCGTCCTACTCGGGACTCGTGAGTTGGGTATACTTTCATCCGAGTGATGTTGTTCTCACTGAGACTCGAATGTCGTACCCATCGCTTTAAACGTCATGGCGTAATCCACTAGGAACGATAGCCACTTCTTGTACAATGGGTGATAGTTATTACTCTTTATTAACATATTTGGTATTCTCCGTTGTTTTTTTTTTGTGTTGGATCGAATTGTTCGACGTGTATTGATATATGGGCTCCTATGCGGATGCCTCGATATTGCCTAAATGTTAATGGAGAATAACAAGTATGTAACTATCAACCGTTGTACATGAAGTGACTGTTGTTCCTCTATGGCATAGTGGATAACACGTTGGCGTTTGAACCGATGGGTACGATAGGAACTGGGTTCGAGTTTGATTGGGAACAACATCACTCACCTGGGGTACAGTTACATACAGCTGACGAGTCCCAAATAGGACGAAACGTGCGTCCTGAATTCCACTGTTAGTCATTATCCATAATTAATATGTAACTACAGGACAGTTTTGAATAAGTTTCACTTTTTGTAAACATCCGAATGAATTATCATGCGTAAAGTCACTGCAAATCGTATTTTTCATGTATTTGTTTAAAGTGTACTCATCTATTCCAAGTTTTGTTCCCCGAAATTGCTGCATCGCTGAATCCCTGTCCACTGGGCTGTCAAATTCCGCCTCCAGATGTCCAACTGTTCTCTGCCAAGTCTCCATCTCATCTTAGTGTTCCACGCCGTTATATGCCGCTTTTGCTCTACCCCTCAGCAATATGCCAAGCACCAGGAACTTCACTCCTAGATCTCGGACACCCATCAGCTCCGCGACTGGTTCGAAATTCGTTAGGAATACCTTGATGTCTTCATCCTCGAACACTGTAGGTCACGGAATCTTCATTACGCCCAGAAGTAGGGACAATGAAGAATAACAATGTAGGTGAATAAATAGTAATTATTAATAATAATTGATTAAAATGTATTGAATCATTACATTTTTTTAATCTTATCTAGTATTTTCTTAATAAATATCCATAAACGTTTTCTTAGTTTAATTGTTGTAAAGATTAGTACACAAGGATTTAAAAGGCAACTTAATATAATGAGTAATGTACCCATTTGACCAATTACTGTTTCATATTGATATTCTATAATATTACATATAATTAATATTTGTGTAATACATTCAAAAAAGTGTAATACAATTTGTTGTCCAGACATAATTGCAGTTGTAATAACTAATTGAATAATTTTACGTTTAATATATGAATTTGTATGAAATTTTTGTATAATTATATTATGTTTTAATAATGTTGAATATTTTATAATATGTATTACCCAAACATGACTACTAATCATTATTATAACTGGAATAATATAAGCAAATATAATCCATGTATAAACAATGAAATCAAGTAATATATCTGTTTTTAACCATGAAAATGAAAAATGCATTTCACAATAATTATTAACATAACGTCGTAATAATGGTGATGGTGTATACAAGATTAAAATCATAATAATTAAATAAATAATATATATAATAATAAAACGATTTGTATATACTTTATATAATTGTAAAAAGATAACAGAACTAACTCGATCCACTGATATACAGACAAGATTTTGTACACTTAATATACACATTAACCAAAATAATGAATTACGAAACCATAAATGACATATTAATAAATCAATTATATATAATCCTGTAATTTTATTATATTGTCCAATAATTTGAGTTATATAATATATAGCTGTAAGAAAACATGCATTAAAATCGAATATTGTTTGAGCTCTAAGCATAATTGTTGTTAATTTTGAACCAAAATGTACTGTGAATACAATAATAATAGCAAGAATATTGAATAATGCACCAAGTATACTCTCAAAGATAATAATTATACTTGTTGATATATTAATACTTGTATCATTACTCATTGTTATATCATTCACTTTTATATTATCCGCTTAATCCATATTGAATTTAATAAAACAAAAATTATTAACTTATTCCACAATACAGTTTTATTTTTTAAAATACAATCGGAAGTACCTTTTATAGAAAGATTGAATAATTTTTTTTTTGTTTGTTTTAAGCAGAATAACCAATCATATTGAATAGAATAGAATTTATAAAACTATTGAACATTGAATGGTACTTTACAAAAAAGAAACAAATGAAATCGTTGGCCATTTGCTTAAATGTTTAGAATCCTGCTATCATTATTATTATCATTATTATATAACTCCATATATAGGCGTATTAGAAATACATTTTAGTATAATTATCCGTCTATCATTTACAATTTCGTTTTTGTGACCTTATTTCAAGTTTTGTTTTTCTCTATCACTTAGCTACGTGTAAGTTATGCAGACTGGATTGTGTGAAATAACTCCCTTCTAGTTTTATAGTCTTTTGTGAATTATTTGTAAGTTATTCGTTATTATTATTACTATTATTATTATTGTTTATATAATCGGTGTCTGAGTAAATCAATTTGCCTAGTTGCACTAGAATGTATTAGATAACTTTTGATTATTTCAATAATAATCAACGTAAAAATATGAAATACAATAAACGTTTTTCTATGAAGAGATCAAGGTTCATTAGACAGAATTTATGTTTCTGTCTATCTAAGGATGAATGGGTAATATTCTGAAGATCATTTTTACTGCTATAAGCTAGGTCAACATTAAGCTTATCTCAGTAATAGTTGAGTTTGTATACTTTATTCAAAGAATGATAATAATATAATTATCACTTTGACTGTCTGTTGTGACCGAGAGGTGGGGTAGCGTGCTTGGGTATAATCATACTCAAACTCAATGGACACCTCAACCGAATACCTTTAAGACTGACCTCCCACAGTACATTCTGCTTCACTCAGCCGCAAAGAAACCAGAGGATAAAGATGGCCTGTGATTGCAAGAATACCGACAACTTTTATTAGTCAAACACATGACATACATGTATTTACAAAACTCTCAGAAAGTTAAGCCATAAATGAACCAATCCAATTTCTTATATGAGGTCGAACTTCTCCAATCAGGTTCTCATATCAGCGCATGCATAAATCACGTCCTGAACGTGATCTGATTATGACTTGAAAACAACTCCCTATTGGCTGCCATTCGTCGCTACGTATCACCATCTAAGACAGCCAAGGTTGAACAGACCAGTTTCGATACTGAAAAGTGAAGTGAATACTCGGATGTCTGCCGGATTTGAAGCAGAAACTACCAGGATTCCGGCGAGTTTGATCAAGTGGTTGTAATGTGTTACGAATTGATATGGTAGTCGGAAAAAACCCATGGTCATTGAAATAAAATAGGACTTCTATCGGTGAAAAAAAAAGGAAAACATGTGAACATGCAATGTCCGCACCATGTATGAACCTAGCAAGGCCACTCGGATTGTAAAAGAGATGGAAAGCTACGGCATAGCAGTGCTAGAAATCTGCAAGGGATCTCCAAAGCAGATTGAATGGAAGTGGACTCTGCAAACTGTCAACTGGAGACGGGTCAATAATCTACTCCAATATTGTCACCCAGAAGACAACCACAAGCTCAGCACACTGAGTTTTCGAGTAGCTATCATGATGCCTCCAACACCATCGAAGCCTCTCTCTCATGCAGGAGGAACCAGTCTCCTACAAGAACATGATAGCAAGATTCAACTGAAAAGGAGGGAAAGTCACAATCATTCAGTGTTACGCTACTCACCTACAAATAATGTGGATGAGGAGAAGGAGGAGGGATTCCGCGGACAACAGCAATCAGTACTGGACAAGACACCACCCACAGTTGGCGACATCAAATTAATTCCAATGGGTGGGGTGATATGGGTACGAAACTGGTAGTGGATAACATAAAAGAGTACCCATCATGGGTCGAGAAGCAATCGGTGAGATGATGAATGAGAATGGAGAACTGTTTGCAGATTTCTGCACATTCTACGATCGGGTGATTGGAGGCGAGACAGTGTGTACAAACACAAGGATATTCACAAAGCCACACGAATTTGATTTCACCAGATGGACACACTAAAACTCAGATCGACTTCATCTCAATCTGAAGAGAGTGGAGATGCAACCAGTCTACTGGACACAAGATGAAGGAAGAGGAGCAGATGTCGGTGATTCACACCAATCACTCACTACCTAGTGCAAGCAACCTACATTCAAAATCAAGTTGAAATGCTTCAATTGAAAGAAGCTGATGATAGACGACCACAGTTCAAGTTGATCACCCAGAACAGAAACTGCACTGAAGAAGGAGACTGCAGATGACATCTTGACATCAGCCATGCGCACAAAATGGGAGGGATTGAGGAAGATCCCTGAGGAAATCGGTATGGAAGGACACTGGAACTCTTTGAAATGAGAAGTGGAATGAGACCTGGATAAGTGTGTGAGGAAGGAGGAAGAAGCAAGTTAGTGAATATATGTCGACGGATACATGGAAGCTGATGGAGGAGGGAGAGGAGGATGGCGTTGGTGTTGGTGATGGTGATGGTGAATCAGAAGATGAAACAGTGGAGTGGAGTGGAGTGGAGTGGAGTGGAGTGGAGTGAAGTGTAGTGTAGTGATGAACAACGAGAAGAGGAAGTGAGTGCAGCCAAGAAAACACTACACTGGAGAAAGAAGTGAAGGAAAGTGCACGGAAAGACAGAAGACACTTATACAAGACACTGGCAAGTGAAGCAGAACAGGCTGGAGGTAGGAGGGACAGGGACCTGACAACATTATATCAAATAACCAGGTTACAATCTAGAAGGGATTAGATCAACGTAGATGAAAGCAATGAGAGAGAGATAGTGAAGGAAGTGAAGTTATGAAAGAGGAGAAGCAAAGAAAGCAGTATGCTGACCACTTCGAAAACTCTTGAGTCTACCATCACCACAACGGCCTGCAAGTCATCCAGAAATACCACCAGCGGCCTAGCCACAGGACTACCGGTTAACACAGGCCCTCCGACAAAAGCAGGAGTGATTTCCTGAAGGCCATAAAGTTGCTGAAATCCGGGAAAGCAGCAGCACCACATGGAATTTCCCCAGAAGCACTGAAAACAGACACAGAGACAGCAGCGGACATGCTCACATCACTACTGTGGAAGGTTTGCAAGGAATGAAGGAATGAATGAAGGAAGGAAGGAAGTGTACCTTTCGATTACATGAAGAAGTGCTATCTTGTCAAACTCTTAGACAAGGGTGACGTAAGTCTTTGCAAGAACTTGCGCGAAATCATGGTCCTGTCCTTGTCGAACCCAAGCAAATTATCAAGCCGCATCATCCTGGAGAGACTTAAAAATGCTCTGGATTCAAAATTAGGACTGGAACAGGCTGGCTAGCTGGCTTCAGGAAAACAAATCATGTGCAGATCAAATTGAAACGCTAAGCATTAGCACAGAACAGATGATAGAATGGCAGAATGGCAATTCTTTATCTCAACTTCACTGATTTTGAAAAGGCATTCAAACGAGGCGTCAACTGAGAAGCAGCTGCTTCAATACTACACCTTTAGTGCCACAAACATTTATCAAGCTCATTCAACAGCTATATGGTTATGATGATGCTACATGCGAAGTGATTCACAATGCAAAGGTCAGTGATGACCTTGAAGTGAAGTGGAGTGAAGAAGGTTGACGCCTACTATCATCAATCTTCCTTTCTGATTGTGGTCGACTTGACTTGACTGAACTGGACTCGACTTGACTTGACTGGAGTGGTCGAATGGAATGGATTGGATCATGCAAGAAATAACTGAGGAGTGAGAAGATGGAAATACTCTGTTTGATCGACGAAATGGCTCTAAAAGAAAATTTGAATTTCTCCAATGATGATGATTTATGTCTTATGTCTAATGTGCATAAACTCGAAGATCTACAGATGAAAACCAAAAAGTTAGCAGAAGAGACGAGACAAGACAAGACGAGGTGAGGTGAGGTAAGGCAGCGAAGATATGACTGAGTTCAGTTGAACGTAGAGAAGACACAGGTGATGACGATACCCAACCAACATCATCAACAACAACAAGTACCAATCACCATGAAGGGGAGAGATGTAAATGAAGTTGTCTCTTTCACCCACTTACCTACCTACCTGCCTACCTACCTAGGCAGGCAGGCAGGCAGCATCGTTTCAACTACAGGCGGTTGTGTCGGCACAAGCACAGATGATGATATCAAAGCAAGTTTAGATCGGAAATACAGCAAGACAAGCCTTCCTTCACTAATCTGAAATGATCAGTGTGGAGATCTACTGCAATGCACCTCACTGAACTGCACTTCACTCAGCATAAAGCGTGAACAACATTCAGATTTTCAAGAGTAATGTCATTCAAGTGAGTCAGTGCTTCTATGTGATGGTTGAGAGACTTGGCGCCTTATGAAAAGCATTCCCATCAACCTGCAGACATATGTGAACAGCTTCGGCGTATGCTCATTCGATATTGAAGATCAGATGAGATAGTAATCCATCCTTTCTATCTCCATCTGTCTCTCTCTCTCTCTCTCCCTAACATATACTTTTGTTTTAGTCAATTCATTAATTTTTGGCGGGTATTTAGAACATGATGGGGATTTTGATTGGTCAACATATAATTGATATACTACTAAATCTCTTCTACTTCCACACAAAGTTATATCATTCAACAGATGATTTACCTTCAAAGCTGAAAAAAGTAAAAGAAAAAATTACTTCATTCTATTTATTTATTCATGTCTACAGAAAGTATTCAATGAATCTCTGTGGAATAAAATCAGTACACTTACTGACGCTAATACACAGACATAAATTGATGTATTGAAAATGTTATATGTGGAACTACCACTTCGTATTATAATAACTGTAGAAGGATTTATTGGAACAATATTAAATTGTTTATCATTATTTATTGTATTTAATACACGATTCGGTTCAAAATCGACTACAGTATTGTTAAGATTACAGCCAATCTATGATATGATTGCATGTTTTCTTTATGCAATGTATACAGCAACAGAGAATGGTAAACCTACACAAATTCTATTCTTAGATAAATTATTATGTTATTTATGGTCTAATAATATTGCTTATTGGTTAGGTGTTGTACTGAGTGTACATAATATTATCTGTATTTCAATTGATCGTTTCATTGCTGTTCTCTTTCCAATAATCTATAAAAGGCATCAATTATTAATTATAATAATATTTATAATTTATCAATTATGTATGATTGGATTATTATTTGTACCAATTATCTTTTTTCGACATTTTATCAGTGGTATATGTACTTATGTGACTGGACCAGCTGGGATTGATTCACGTGTATACATTGCTTTCAGAGGGTATACATGGTTAATATTTCAGTATATACTTCCATTGATCATTATTATCACATGTCATATATTGATTGTGATCAAATTGAGTAGGCGACAACATCATTCTATAGCTTGTTTACCAGTTAGTGTCTTTTCAAGTGTTACTATTACAACTACTACCACCACCACTACTACTACTACTAATAATAATAGTACTACTGCCACTACTAATCATGGTGTACAACGATATTCAGAGTCTGAATTAAATGATCATAAAAGACTAGTTGGATTAGTTATTATAACTGCATTAATGTCTGGTCAACAGGCAATTCTTCATTCTTATGAATTTATACGCTATTTTTTAACAATGCTAAATATTGTCATTTTTAGTTATGGTACAGTTGGACAACAAATGGGACCATTTCTTATCTTATTAAGTAGTTGTATTAATCCATGTATAATAATTGCTACTACAGTATCATTACGTAGACAATTTTCAAGTTATTTACATAAAATATTGTCTAAAATTAATAAAAGAAAATGTTAGAAAAAAATTCATCATATAGTTTATATTACATATTGACAAATTTCAAAAAGAGTATTTCGCGCCAATAAATGATGTTCAAGTGTTCAATGCATCGAAATACTTGTGTTTAAATGTATTCCGTTTGAAATTTAACTATTTATTATTATTATTGTAAATAAAATATTGTCTACTTTTCAAAGGATATAATTTGTTATTGAAAAGTGATTTTGTTATTTTAATATGGTCTAAGGTTACTTCAATGTACTTATAAAAGTCTATTCACTTGTTGTTTTATTTCTACTCAAATTCATAAACCAGTTAATTCTCTGGAAATTATTTAACTAACTATGAGTAGAATAGGTGATAAGCAATACATATTTAGTCAGGTCAGGTATATTGTAAGAGGAATTCATTCAGAAAATGTGTACCAGTCTTAATATTATGCTGACTGACCTCACCTTAAACACACTGAAAGCATAATTGATGTCAAGAGACATTTATGAAGAGCTATATGATGTCTGATGACCACTGATATAATTTGGAGTAAAAGCTGGACACTGTGATCGATTGTAATTCCATTTTAGTCTATTTATTAGTAATGTCACATACTGTGAAGGAACATTATCATTTACTGGATTACGTTTTGGACACAATCTATTATCCATATTCATATGAGGTAACTAACTCCACAACTTCGAGACAACGGTAGTAGAATTTTCCACATATCTGGGACAGGTGAACAATCATTGCTATTACTCCAGGTATTTGGTGTTGATTCGATAAACAAATATTCAGTCAGTTATCAATCCCCAAACCCGCACCCAAATATGTTAGTTTTTAACTCTGTCGCTCTATCCCATCCTACTGTGTGATTGTGTGTCATGGCATGCACAGCTATAGTCGAGCTCTTCTCTAAATTTTTTATCTTATTAGGATCTGCTAGTCTTGATTTGGATAAGATTTTGTGCTGTTATTCTAATCAACTCTAGTCGACTACTTTGACTAACCTATGCATTTGACCTGGCAATCATTGCAAAGGATTTTGTAAACCACATTGTTTTGCTTAATTGCATCAGTAGGATCTGTTCACCTGCAAACCTTGTTTCTGAGCGAGTTGGTTGGTTTAAATGCCACTTTAATCCCAACCAGCTCAGCTGAGAATTCTCGTAATCCTTCTGAGGTGCATTCCTTGTGTGGTAACACAGTAGAGGCTTTGAATTCTCTCTTAACCCTGTCGCCATTACCACCACCGTTAAAAGTGGAGTTGTCATTATTAACACCTGTATTACTTCCATTACTACTACTGCTAATATTTCTCTTTCGATTTCTTATGAATTTATTTAGAATTCTAGATGGGTGGTTATTGAGATGCAGGTATTCTTGATGTGTCTAATTTCCTGTTGTGGATTTTACTGGTCTACTCATAAGCTTTTTCGCATTAACTAAGCCTACTTTAACTGAGATGGGGTGGTAGGATTTGAAGTGTAAGTAGGGATTCGAATGGGAAGGTTTCCTATAGACGACACTCATCTCTAAACTTCAGTCTTCTGTTTGTTTAATCTTACAATCCAAGATTGCAAGCTCACCTTCATCACTTATAAGTCACAGGTGAATTCGATTGTATTCAATACTGGACATATATGTGCCAACAACCTATTGATGTGTTCCGATTTCAATACTGGAAACGTATCATCTACGTATTAGAACCATATCATTGGAGTAGGACTAAATGTTTTAACGAGAATCTCTTCCCAACTATCCATAAATATGTCTGTGACGATAGGGGATGTTAGTGATCCCATGACAACACCTTCAATTTGTTTATATATTTTATTTTAAAACTTAGAAACTGCAGATATTAGGCACAATCGTACTCCTCGATTAGCACCATAGTTCCGTTTGATGCGTAAACTCATTGTCATCCTTAAACCAATTTCCAACTGCCTCTAGAGCCCGTCGATGGGTGGTATATTTGTGTAAGGCTAGTTATGTCAAAACTAAGCATATTTTTCATTGTCGTCTAATCTGTGCTTTAAGTCATAAGAGATGGTAAGTCAATATTTCGTCTGATTACTTATTGGACATAACACCATTGCTAAGTATTTAGACAACTTGTAAGTTGGAGTGTTTCTCAAATCTACTATAGGCCTGATGGGATAACCTTAGTAATACCACACATTCTACTGGGATTATTAGTTATCGGTATTAAATTAAACCACACTCATTGAAATCTATCTGTTATACAGTAAACGAGGTCATAGCAGTCAGCTTTACTGTAATTATTGATCTAACGCTTTACCACCTTAAAAAAGATTTCGTTTAACCAGTGATACGGTAAAATGTTCATGTTAAGTATTGTACTCTCAGAGTAAAATATTTCTAATGAGCTTTGGGAACATCAAATTGAGGAATTATTCAACCGATGGTTTTAATTATTCAAACAGCTCTACACTGATGATTGATTAATTCATCTCTTTCATCTTCTTCAAGACTTTTTGTCAACTTTCATCCTGTTCGTTTGTTCAGTTCAGTTCAATTCATCTACTAGCACAGATGGCAGTTAATCAGAATAATCACTGGGATTCACGAGAACTATGTCAGAGTCGTTGTCAGGAGAAATCAACAATACTTCATTGTTATTTAAAGGTTCATTTAGATGAAATTATTCTTCTTTGGACAATACCCTCCTAGTATTTGGTTTTTTCACTTATATACTCAAGGCAACAGTTGAAAATCGTCAGTTTAATTTAATGATATAATTTGTATGGAACCTAATTTACTAAGTATTTAAGCGATTTACAGTAATTAATTAGATAAAATACTCAACCTTTAGGAATGATGCTTCAATTATTCGTTTGAAAGCACTGAAATTCTAAGAATTATACCTTACTCAGTCCTTTAAGACTTCACTACAGTAAGTTTTAGTCAGAACAAAATTATCAAGGAAATTCGCCGAGAACTCATTTCACCAGCATTGATATTTTGATAATGGTTGATAATTGAAGATGAAATGAAAGTCAGCCTCTGGGTTAGCGGGTCACTGATTCACCAACTGAACTACAAGCCATATCTATTTCAAATAGTCTTAATAATAAGATAATTTACTTAGTGATGGAATCTGGAAAGTGCATTTTATCGTATGCAGGACTTGTCCACTGGGTAAACTTGCACCACAGCAAGTGATTTTGTACCGGCTGGTGAGTTACAAGTAGCACGAAACGTGTGCCTTGGATTCCCCTGCTGGTCACAACCAAGTAGATCAGCCTTATAAATATTCAGACAGTTGTGAAGCATCTGTACAGTAAGTTGTCTACCAACAGAGGTCGATCTGGTACATCAAAGAATAATTACAAGTATATCAAGAAGTGGTAATAACTTACATCAGTTAGAGGACCACTGAAAACCTGGGGCACTGGACAACCAGCTGTTCCATCCTAGTATGGGACTCCTCATCTCAAAAATATATTACTGTGTAGTGCTCATTACTGGCTTGCTTCTTGATGGATATCACGAAGTTCTAATGAGAAGGTGTGACCTGTGGGATCAACTATTTGGAAAGGAAGTGGATGCCATCTGAAGACCTTGAATGATAGTCACGCTATATCATGAATTGATAGAAGTTGGCAACTGTGAACTAATGAAACGTGAGGGTCCTGAGTTCAGTCCGTAACCAGGTAGTGAGTGCTTACTGCTGGGGAGTCGCATACTAAGATGGAACAGCTGGCTGTCCAGTGCTTCTAGGTTTTCAGTGGTTCCCAAACTGATGTCAGTCCATGATGAATACTACTCCCAAGTTAAAAATCTCCATTAATCTCTAAAACACTTTGGCATTTGTTATTTTTTACCACATACTTACAATAAGTGCATATTCTTCATGTATTGGCATTTGTGACAAATGCGACCTCTATTTACATCTGTCTAAAATGTAACACACACGCACACACACACACACACACACACACGTACTCTCATACAGGCTTACATTCATGAATCGTACGTATCACTGCACGATGGTGTGAAGGATTAATAACCCTATTGAAAAACAATCATAATCCAGACACCATTGGACAACGAGATGAGCTTTACGATTTTCGACCTGTTATATATTTTATCTATGATAATGTAGATTTTAATAATCTTCCTTATAAAGCTTGGACCAGACTTCCATTCAAAACCCTAAAATTTCTTATTCTAAAGACGCAAAGATTTATCCAAGTATATAACTTATGTATGATGTCAACTTTCAGTAGACGCCCAATATTTTTGAAACTATACGTTTAAGTCTTTACAAGGATTGAAATAGACTGATGATTTGTTGATCAGTTTGATTACTTAGGACAGTCTTAGTTCGATAGATTGAATTCAATGTAATGCGGTGGTAACTACGAAGCACAACTGAACCATTTGAGTAGTTAGATACCACTCAGACTGATCTGTAGTATTTCACCAGCCATAACTGAGTGGTCTAACCACCGGATAGTCGTATTCGAGGAGGTTGTGGGGATTGAGAAACATTTAAAGCTGGTATTTATCCTAAATTGACATCAGTTGGAGGAACAATCGAAACCTGGGAGCACTGGACAGCTGTTTCGTTCTAGTATGTGACTCTTCAGCAGTGTGCATCCACGACCACACCAGGGATTGAACCAGCGACCTTCGGGTTCCGTGGCCAGCACGTTACCATCGAGCCACAACCTCCTAGAAATTCAGTCGAACTGTTGCTTATTAGTGACTAGCTTCGAGAGGTGATTCACGAAGTTCCAATTATCGATTCGCAAATAAGTTACAAATTGAATGGTCCACGTTGACGTTTCTCAAAACTGAGTAGACAGTCAACTACCCAACTGTGATGTCAACAGGGTTTCTGGTGTTCACTACTTAGCCGAGATCGCAAGGTGTGACCTCTAACATAAAACTATCATTAAATAGTGGGAGATACTACCACTATTACAGTTGAGTGTTTTGCACCCGAAAGCCTTGTTGATACCATATTTAGCTCGTTGAAAAATTACTCATCTGTG